GGGGGAGGAAGTGAAATTTTTTATTCAAGTCTCCGTCATGATCTCTCGAACCATGGCCCTAATCACATCAGCGAGCTCAAATTACCTCCAACCATCTTAGCCACAGTTAAAACAGGGACATTAAAACAGCGTGGAGAAGAGAATTGACAATTTGAATAGTATTACATATGATGCATAACAGAGGCGGGAGAATGAGGAAGGTGAGAGGGAGGGAAGAGGGAAGGGAAGAGGAGGGCGAGAGGGGAGGAAAGGAGAGGGAGGGTGAGGACAAATGGGACCTCTAGTACACGGGGACACAAGGGTGGAAGTTTACAGTCGTTGGCACAGCTGTTTGATCTGGACGTAACCCGCCTGCCTACTGGAAGCTGGAGTTAAAATAATGGAAAGCTGACAAAATGAATAAGGGGAGAGAGAGAGAGAGAGAGAGAGAGGTCAGAATAACACACACAGGTACACATATACGCACGGAAAAACACACACACACACACACACACACACACACACACACACACACACACACACACACACACACACACACGCGCGCGCGCGCGCGCGTATATAAAAACTTAAAGTTCCTCTCCTAAGATAACTTGTATTAACATCAACAAACATCTAGACAAACAAACAAACAAAAGCTACACCTCCCTCACGCTTAAGAGCTGCTAAGACAACACCTAAAATATTATTATTACGTAAAACAAAACTTTTTTAATATGTAAATTAATACAAAAACAACAAACAAATTCCAGGTATTATGTAACATTCGGCCCCAGTCCCCTCTTTCATTCTCTCTCCCTTCCCTTCCTTTCCCCTCGCCTCTTCCCCCTTCCTATCCTTCTCCCTTCCCTCTATCTCTTCTTCTTCCCACCCCTTCCCCCTTTCTATTTCCCTTCTTCTCTTTCCCTTCCCTTCCTTTCCTTTCCCCTCTTCCCCTCTTCCTCCTCCCTCCCCTCTTCCCCACCTCTCCCCACACCCTCCCCTCCACCCCCTAACCCCCACACCTCAATGGTATCAAAAACTAATCACCACAAGAGAAATTCCAATATTTTTCGCTCATCTGATTTCGAAATAATTAATAAAAAGTAATGACTAAAAAAAAAACATTTATACATTTTGGAATTTTTTTTTACCGAGTGTAAATAGAGAGTCAGGTGTTAATGAATATAATTACCTTCACTCTTATAATAAAGATACTGAGTTAATTAATGAGTCTGGTTGTTTATTAAAGTGAAACCTCCATATAATGAACTTCTCTCTCCATATAACGGACTTTTATCTATATAACGGACTTTTATCTATATAACGGACTTTTATCTATATAACGGACTTCTATCTCTATATAACGGACTTCTATCTCTATATAACGGACTTCTATCTCCATATAACAGATTTCTATCTCCCGATAACGGACTTTCATCTCTATAATCCGATAGATGGGGTTTTCAGATGTAGCGGACTTTATTCTTTATATAGTCCGGTAAATAGAGCTTTCACTATATGTGTGGATATTTTAAGATCAAAGAGGGAGGCAAACTGTGGTTGGTGCTGTGGAGGCTGTGTTGTGTTGTGTGTTCCGTGTGTTGTGTGCTCCGCTATGCTCCGCTGTGCTGTGTTCCACTGTGCTGTGCTCCACTATGCTCCACTGTGCTGTGCTCACTATGCTCCCACTGTGCTGTGTGCTCGCTATGCTCCACTGTGCTGTGCTCCGCTATGCTCCACTGTGCTGTGCTCCTGCATGCCCCACTGTGCTGTGTGCTCCGCTATATCCCACTGTGCTGTGTGCTCACCTATGCTCCACTGTGCTCCCGCTATGCTCCACTGTGCTGTGTGCTCCGCTATGCTCCACTGTGCTATGCTCCACTGTGAATAACTCCCACTCATCTACATATTAATTCGCCTGGTCATTGCCAACACTGTATTATAAATGCTAATTCAGGTTGTTCACTGGCTGTTATAATACGATACCTGTTTACGTGACCTCCTGTGTGTGTGTGTGTGTGTGTGTGTGTGTGTGTGTGTGTGTGTGTGTGTGTGTGTGTGTGTGTGTGTGTGTGTGTGTGTGTGTGTGTGTGTGTGTGTGTGTGTGTGTGTGTGTGTGTGTGTGTGTGTGTGTGTGTGTGTGTGTGTGTGTGTGTGTGTGTGTGTGTGTGTGTGTGTGTGTGTGTGTGTGTGTGTGTGTGTGTGTGTGTGTGTTATCGTACACAAGAGGTTGGGCAGCAGGAGAGGGTGGGGGGAGGGAGGTGCCAGCCAGGCCTACATACATAGCCTCTGATAGGGGGAGGTGGAGGGGGTGAGAGGTGAGGAGGGGGAGGTGGGGAGGGAGGTGAGTGGGGGTGAGAAGGACCTATATATTGATCTCTGGGAGGCGGCAGCCTAGCCTGGCCTTCTCTCCTCCTCCCCTCTCTCTCCCCACGCATGCTGCAGCTCTGGACTGGGCGCCGCATTGTAGTATTGGTGTTATAGGATTATGTATCAAACTTGCATTAACGGCCGCATGCGTCTAGAATCATACAGCCGCATGCGTCTAGAATCATACAGCCGCATGTGTACAGTAGAAGACACGGCCGCATGCGTTCAATAATATATATAAGTCCGTAATTCAATAAGACGACCAGATTAACAGCCAATTTGACCGAACCAATTAAATGGGGAAGATAGAACCAATTACACGGTGGATGCTCGGGACCATTTAGGTGGATGTCGACCTATCTCCCTCCCTTCCTTCTCCCCTCCCTTTCCCTCACTCTGATCCCCTCCCATCCCTCCTTTCTCCCTCCCTCCATCCCTTCCCTACCTCCTTCCTACTCTTCATCTCCATCTCCTCTCTCTCCCTTCACCCTCCTTTCCTAATACGACCAGCTATTACCACTACCTCCCCACCGAGCCAGCCTATTACAACCTATTCCCACAGGTCCTATTTATAACAACTATTCTTCTTCGGCCCTATTACAACCATCAGAGAGAGAGAGAGTAACCAACATCACCAAAGGTAGTACATGTGCGTATGTGTACAACTACAGGTTCCCTTTAGTACAGAGGTGTAGGCGAGCTCCCTGTGTACTGGCTACAGGCATAAAACGTGGCATCGCTGTGTTTATTTACATGTAAACTTGGCATCAGTGCATTTATAATCCAGAACTCAATGGAGAGATAGTCTTCCACCTCACACCTAAGTTAAAAACAACACAGGCACAAAAAACACAACCACAACCTTATATCCATTATATAAACACACACACACACACACACACACACACACACACAATCACAGGTATTTGACATCCTTCCTCGATCCACTAATTCAATTTCGGTGTGGGTGATGATGGATGGGTAGTCATGAAGGTAATGGACAGGTAATAAAACCCTCAGGTCGTCCAGGTGTAAGGTGGGGAGGGGTGTGAGGTGTAGGTGTGGGGGAGGGGTGTGGGGAGGGAGTTGGGGGTGTGGGGGAGGGGTGTGGGGAGAGGAGTTGGGGGTGTGGGGGAAGGGGTTGGGGAGGAGGTGTGGGGAGGAGTGGGGAGGAGTGTGGGGAGAGGTGTGGGGATCAGAGATGGGGTGGGAGGGGTAGGGGGGTGAAGGGGAGTGACCTGCCCTCAGTGTTCATGTCAGGGCCAAGTAAGGATTAAGGGCTTCTACTGCGTTATAGTTAGGATAAACGTGTGTGTGTGTGTGTGTGTGTGTGTGTGTGTGTGTGTGATTGTGTGTGTACAGTATATATGTGACCTATATATACCTGATGACTATTCCCTCCTTCCTCTTTTTCTGTTCCCCCTCTCCTCCCTCATTTCTTTTCTTTCCTTTTTCCTTTTCTCTTCTTCCTCATCCCCTCCTTTCTCTTTTTCTCTTCCTCTTCCTACACTCCCTCCTCTTCCGTTTCATACCTCTACTCCCCTTCCTCCTCCTCCTCCTCCTCTACACTAAATATTGACAAACAGACATGATGAATTACCAAGAGAGCACGCAATCATACCTATATACCCCACCTATACGAGGCAGCCTTTACTTTCCCAACTGTGTAAATGGGATATTTATGAAACGGAGGGACTTTGTGGTGGGTCTGGAGGGAGAGGGTAGGAGGAAGAAGTGGAGGAGGAGGAGGAGGCTGGATGTGGAGATGGGGAGGGAAGAGGGAGATAGTGGAGGAGAGGAGGCTGGATGTGGGAGATAGTGGAGGAGGCTGGATGTGGAAGATGGTGGAGGAGGTAGGAAGAGAGAGGAGGTAGATAGGGAGGGGGGAGGAGGGATAGAAAGATAAGGAGTGGAGATGGAGGAGGGAGGCTGGTGAAAATGGAAAAGGAAGAAAAGCAGGGGGATGGGAAGAGGAAGAGGATAGAGGAGCAAGAGGAGGAGAAAAGTTGAGGAAGAAGTACCCCAGAACACAGGTATACACAATTATTACAGGTGTATCAATAAACTAACTCCAGCCCAACAGGTGTATCAATAACACAATTTATGCAGGTATATAAATCAATCAATATCTCTCCTCCTTTAACTAGGGAAGGAGAGGTGACCCCCTCACCCCCCGACACTAATCACAGGTGCTGGGAAAACACACACCTGGCAGATCTCTGGAGTAACATGGTATTAAGACCTGGGTAACTACGACCTCAAGATAAGGACAGTAGTTAGACCTGGGTAACTACGACCTCAAGATAAGGACAGTAGTTAGACCTGGGTAACTACGACCTCAAGATAAGGACAGTAGTTAGACCTGGTAACTACGACCACTGGAGTATGGTGGTATAGAGGACCTGGGTAACTACGACCTCAAGATAAGGACAGTAGTTGGCCTGGGTAACTACGACCTCAGATAAGGACAGTAGTTAGACCTGGGTAACTACGACCACTGGGTATGGTGGTATAGAGGACCTGGGTAACTACGACCACTGGGTGGTGGTATAGAGGACCTGGGTAACTACGACCACTGGAGTATGGTGGTATAGAGGACCTGGGTAACTACGACCTCTTTACTAAGGCGGTATACAACTACGGGTACTCACTTGTCGTGGAGGACGCGGTGGGAGCGAGGACTCATACAGTTAACAGACCACTCCGTGTTGCCGTGGTCGTTACAGATGGTGATGCTGAAGCGGCCGTAGTTGGCGCGGATGAGGTTGATGACGTGGCCGGGGTCACACTCCATGTTGAGCGTGGAGCCTTCACAAGCGTACGCCGTCCTGTACCTCGGCCGCTCTGGTGGAGGAAACACGAAACACGTAAGTCACATGTCAACAAAACCCGAAGGAGCAACTAAACATTTAACAAAATCTTTTTTAATTGGGAGACATTAGGACAAGGAGGCACTCAAGAGGTACTTTAAGACAGGGAGGGACTCAAATGGGGAGGCACTCATGCAGAAACACACACTTGACTGTCAAACATTTAGACTGAGAGACACTCAGACAAGGAAATAAGTTTGTAACAGTTTTCTTGGTCCATCCTTTATTAAATGGACTTTTGTTAACATTGTTTGTATACCAGCAATGTTTATTGTTTACGTGTACTGCCTATGTATATAACGAATCAATGTGTACCCGAATGATGCTTTACCTGAACATCTGTGTATATCTGTCTGTCAGTTTTTTACTAGAACACACACTCAGCCTGAGACCCCCCACACACTCAGCCTGGAGACCCCACACACACCTCAGCCTGGAGACCCCCACACACACTCAGCCTGAGACCCCCCCCACACACACTCAGCCTGAGACCCCCCACACACTCAGCCTGGAGACCCCCCACACACTCAGCCTGGAGACCCCCCCACACACACTCAGCCTGAGACCCCCCACACACACTCAGCCTGAGACCCCCACAGAGACCCCCACACACTCAGCCTGGAGACCCCCCACACACCTCAGCCTGAGACCCCCACACACACCTCAGCCTGAGACCCCCCACACAGCACTCAGCCTGAGACCCCCACACACGCTCAGCCTGAGACCCCCCACACACACTCAGCCTGAGACCCCCACACACACTCAGCCTGAGACCCCCCCCAGAGCGACGCCACCACCAGCAACAAACACCTACCTACAGAAGGACTTTAATGAACACACAGCCTCCTCCTCCTCCCGCAACACAGTCGTCCCTACCAGCAAGAATCGCGTGAAGAGGGGCAGGCGGAGGAGAAGAGATACTGGACGAGAGAAAAGGGGAGGAAAGGAGAAGGCGATAAGAAGAGAGGGGGAGGGGGAGGGATTATCCTCTTGTAGTCAACGTGAGGTGTGAAGGTTGGTGTGGAAGGAGCAGCATCAAGCACTCTTGAGGGAGGGAGCGGGGTGGAGGGAGGAGGAGGGGAGCCTCGGAGGGAGGAGGGTAGGGGGAGCCTGGTGGAGGAGGAGGAGGGTAGGGAAGCCTAGGAGGAGGAGGAGGATGGAAGCTGGGAGGATGAAGGAGGTAGCGGGGGAGGAAGGTAGCCGGGTCTTCTATTGAAGTTGTAGAGTGGGGGAGGGGTTGGCTGAGGTATGATTGGCGACATTAAAGGTGGGATTATAAGGGGGAGGGAGGGAGGGAGGAGGGAGGAGAGGAGGAAGGGAGGTGGGGAGGGAAGGGAGAGGTGGAGAGGGAAGGGTGGGAGGAAGGGAGGAGGGGGAAGGGGAGGTGGGGAGGGGGAAGGGGAGGTGGGGAGGGAAGGGGAGAGGTGGAGAGGGAAGGGGGGGGAGGAAGGGAAGGAGGAGAGGTGGGGAGGGAAGGGAGAGGGAAGAGGTGGGGAGGGAATGGAAGGGGAGGGGAGAGGTGAGGTGGGGAGGGGAGAGGTGGGGAGGGGAGGGGAGACGAGGAGAGGGAGGGGAGGTGACAGGGAGATGAACTTTGGCTTCCAATTTTCTGTGAGTTGTTGAATTTTGTCTCGGGATAAAGACAGCAGGAGGAGGTGGGACAATACCTGCCATGATGCACCGGAGGAGAACTTCAGCCTCCAGACACAGCCAGAGCGAACTGCTATCACTGTGAGGTGGCCGAAGCAGCAGCAGTAATCAGCAGGTTGTTGAACCAGGGAGGCATGTACCCCCCCCACCCTCCTCCTCCTCCTCGCCCCTCTTCTCCCCATCTCTCTCCCCCTAATGCCTCGCCTCAGCAACCACCAGCACGAAACATCAACATAAGATACACGAGGCTCCACGGCCGGCCTGCAACACCCAGTAACAAATTACTTGTATTATAGCTTGAGAAAAATGAGTCAAGTTGTGTGGTGTCCGAGAGATAACGCCGCAACACACCTCGCCTCTACCTCCTCCTCACATCCCCAACATGCGGGTACTGATAGCTCATCCCCCACCTCTCACTGCAAATATTAATGAACTTTTAAATCAAAAGCCGTAGAACATGTGTCGCGGAAGAAAACAATACAGTCAGGTGCCATTTAGGCGGCAGGTGAGAATATTTCATCTGGGGGAGCGGCGGGACCTAACGTGTGCGAGTTAACACCAGCCCAATGGCGTCTGGACTCTGATTAATCGAAAAATTCCACAATGTTCAAGCGCCTTGTCGATGGTCGTCCCCGTGTTGTTACAGAGCCCGCCCGGGTACTGAACGATAGAATAAGGATTAGAGCGTAGTTTTGTCGGTCCGGTCCTCCTCATAGATCATCTGTGGGTGAATATGTTGTAATTATTGCCTTCAGCTCTGTGCCTTGATGGTTGCGCGCGCTCTTGCCATCACGCGAGCATTGTTTTTGTCGCTCCGCCATTACACACACACAAAAAAAAAATCCCCTTGGGACAACTTGGCGCTTTTGCAGTTGCCATTAATTGCAACACCTCGACGAGTTATCCTGACATACACACGAGATACAAGAGACACAGAAAATAAAACCGCGTAAAATTCAATATTCAAGCTCCGATCTCACCAACGTCAGATTCAAGAGATAAGTTTTATTTATGCCTGACTGGGAGAGATTAATTCCTGTACGCGAGGCATCAGGGCCCTGGGAGCGTCAGTGTAGCCAACTGCCTCCACTCCCGCATACCTCTTACCCTCCCTCGCCCCGCACCAAGGACCAACAGGTGTTACCACATCAACACGACCACATACATTTAACACAATGGTAACACTGCGACCGTGACTCTACCTACGTGATGACCAATGTTACCACTGTAAATAATGTTGCTGAATTCCCTTAAGAGATGCTACCACCTACTACCACACCTCCAATGTTACCACCACAACCATTATATAACTACCACAACCATTATACAACCACCACAACCATTATTAAACAACTACCACAACAATTATTAAGCAACCACAATCAAAACCATCATTAATTTAAACAACCACAACTACCACCATTAATAAACCACAACAAAATATCATACTAGAAAAAACACACCATCAACACCACAACCACAACTATCTCTACCACAATCAAACCACCAACAACCGCGTCACTACTGAATCTTATTACCACCATTACACCACCAATACCACAAATACCGCAATCGTGATTAATGCTCACACCATTGCTACCACCGCATACCACACCACCACTACCACACACACACACACACACCAATCCATAACCTCTTCTATTGAATATTTTACTAATTTATTTTAACTAAATTTCAAAGGAAGTGAGAATAAATTCCAAGATAAAATATCAGGTAAAGACGGAATAAATCACCTGAGAAAATGAATAATTGGAAGCGTAAATATTACCTGTGTGAGGAGGAGTCTCTCCCTCCCTCTACCTGCCCGTGAGAGACGTAAGTTATCTCTCAGTCTCTCAGTTATCTCTCAGTCTCTCAGTTATCTCTCAGTTTTAGTAGATATGTTCAGCTCGAGACTGTCAGGATCAACGTGTATGTATGTGTACGTGTACGTGTGTGTGTGTGTGTGTGTGTGTGTGTTTAAGACCATAGTAGTTACAGCAAGGAAATACACAATATCTGTATACGTGTAAGTAGGGGCGCGCACACACACACACACACACACACACACACACACAAACCTTACTATGGTCATGACAATAGTTCAGACACGAGGCCATATGACTGACAGCCAGTTACAGTATATGTCTGACCGAGAACTGAGTCATTGGCGATACCGAGCAGATGGAACAAGGTGGGCGTGGTTAAGGAAGGTTGAACGAGGTAGTTAGGTGGTTATTAATTGACTTGTACGAACCAAACGACCCACGTGTTTTGTTGTTGTTGTTGTTGTTATTATTATTATTATTTACCATCATCACTAACTACCACCACCACCGTAACCACAACTACCACCACCACCACCACCGTAACCACAACTACCACCACCACCACCGTAACCACAGCTGCCACCACCACCACCGTAACCACAACTACCACCACCACCAACAAAACCACAACCACCACCACCACCACCGTAACCACAACTACCACCACCACCACCAACCACCACCACCACCGTAACCACAACTACCACCACCAATATAAAACCATAGCCACCACTCACCTCACCACCACAAACTATAAAACCCACAACCAATCACAACCAACTACCACTAAGACGTAACCAGCACAACCACTAGCAGCCACCCTATAACCACCACTATTAACCACTTATCCACCACCACAATCATTCCACCACCGCAAGGAAGAGAGATATAATGACCACCAACCACGCCAACCACAAACAACCACAACCAATCTATTAACATTTATTACCGCATAACAGAAGGAGATTATTACATTATTTTTATTTGTTTATTTATTTATGAATGGTTAAAAAGTTGTATTATTAGTTGAATATCTCCTAGTACCTGCAGAATATCTCCTAGTACCTGGTCAGAATATCTCCTAGTACCTGGCCAGAATATCTCCTAGTACCCGGCCAGAATATCTCCTAGTACCCGGCCAGAATATCTCCTAGTACCTGGCCAGAATATCTCCTAGTACCCGGCCAGAATATCTCCTACTACCTGGTCAGAATATCTCCTAGTACCTTATCAGAATATCTCCTAGTACCTGGCCAGTCATTACCTTATTAAGATCAAATACAGTAGAGAAGGAAACACTACAGACTTGAGGTTGAACCAGACAGATAAAGAAACCCTACAATGGCTGCCTCCGAGGGGCCATCGGCACTGAGGAGCGACAAGAGATTAGCTCCCAGCCTGAACGAGAGAGAGAGAGAGAGAGAGAGAGAGAGAGAGAGTTG